GCACACTTAAAGGAGCGCTATGAGGTGAGTGAAAATCACTCATCCTCATAGTTCGAACCGACGTGTGACAATGAAACTGTCACAGGTTGGCTCAGTAGATCGGGAGGTGAGAGAACACATACCGTCGCTCGCTCACTTCTCGATCCTGTGCCTGCAGAGAGCCGTGACAGGGGAGGGACTGGATTCCCCCCCTCCCCTCCCCTCCCCTCCCCTGTCCAATCCTCCAGCGCTGACAGGCAGAATGGACGAGGGAGGTGGCGGGTACAGCTGGCTCTGTCTCTAGATAGGCGGAGCCAGCTGTCACTCACGAAGCTGGGTGGATCCAGACAGTAATGTCGGGATCCGTCCCGGCTGCGCGTCTCAGTATATAGGGAGCTGTAGCTCGCGGTATACTGACCTCAGGGTGACGGGAGGACGCTAGTTTGTGTCCTCCCGTTACCCTAAGGAGAACTATTGGGAAAAGCCCTGACCCCATAATTCTCCTTTAATAATACTGACACTGACACGCTTAGATGAGATCTATGTAATTGGGTGTACAGTATATCTTCTTGTTTCTGGTGTAGAAGCGCCATGCGGCACAGACTAAGCTTCCAATGACTTGAGACCAGGACTGCAAAATAGTTTTCTACAATGTTTATATCTTGGCATAAAAAGTTCTGATTCCCCTACAGATAAAGTCCAAGGCCCTGCACTGCAGCAATGACATCCCTGCATGTGTTTTAATAAATAAAATAAAAAAGGGGGGGGGGCGGGAAGGTTCAACAAGCACAGAACTGTGTACGTTACATAAAAGAACGTATCCAGGAAGGAAAAAGAGGAAACGCAGAGATGCTATCTGACCTCGGGTCACTTTTTTTTCTTTCAAGATCACAATCTGCACATGTTTTGTTAATAAGTCGCCGCATTAAACTAGCAGTTTAGCGTGCCGAGAAACCGTCTTCCGCAGTGCATCTCGCTGAAGTCAGGCAATGTCTCTGAAAAACACTTCCAAATGTTAACCAAAGGTATAAAAAAGAGGGGGGAAGGGGGGGATAAGCTTGTGCCCTCAGTACTTCCTGTTCTGCAGAACAGGAAGTTTTGCGGTTCCATTGTAGGGCTATATAAGGTAACTGGAACGGTAGATAGGAGAGATAAAGTTAGCGGTACAAAGGACACTGGGCCTGATTTATCAAAGTGTGATGACACATAAGGCAGGCTGGAGCAGTTGAATTATCACTTGAGAGGTCACTTTAGCATGCCTTTAGTGCTATTGCAGTTGGCGAAACAGGAATTTTGAGCTGGTAACAAGAATGAGACAGTTGCTATCTGTGGGACAACTGATTAGAGCAGGATATAATAATCGTGTTCATGGACCCGTGGACCAATATGCAAATACAGGCAGGCTTAGGCATGATGCCCCTCCCCTCACATGACACTCTTGGGGCCTTGCAATTGGTTAGTTAGGCACCCAATGCTGTTATGGAAGGGGGTGTACAGACTACTATTTTCATACTCTGGAGACCTGGTTACATCTGGTACCTTACAGACAAATGTTGCTGCAGTTTGCTGGGTGGCTTTGGAATGGAGTGTTGTACAGCCTGACCGTGTCACCTTCCATAACTGCATTAGGTGGCCTCACTAGCCAATAGGTTTAGGACATTGCATACCAAGGTACCCTGATGTTTGGGGCTTCCAGGGTGCTGGAAAGCACTAGATATATTGCACCCGAAGTGCACAAAAAAACTTGATCCTGACAGAAATTGTGCCGTCCTGTGTACCCTGCACTGTTCTCTTACGCAGTACTATCAGTCCTGGCTAGTTCTGTCTGTGGCGTACAAAACATTTTCCCCTATGTTATGGAAAGTGGGAGGTGTCACACTTATCACGAGGTGACAACGCTGTTCCTCCATAGATACAGTACAGAGAGTGAGCGTTGTCACCCTAGCACAGGAAGTATGTTACTGGCAGGATCACCAGGTGAAAGTAAAAATGTCCATGAGGTGTAGAAATGCTGAGCCGTCTACACAAAGCCTTCAGGGCAGACCTTGATAGTTCCCAAAAATAGTGCACCATCCTACATCCTTGATGGGAACAGACTGAAGGATACATATTTGGACAGGCAAGCCTTCTGTGCAGCGCCATGCCCTACACAGCCGATCTGACTACCCTATGGAAGGGGAACTCAACCAGGATTGAGACTGACAAGGCACTGGTCATGTGATCTGTGCTGAGGGAAAGGGAACCAAGGGACCAATGTCAGGACACTTCGGGCAGAGCCGCTGATGGAAAGGGAAATGAGGGACCAATGTCAGGACACTTCGGGCAGAGCTGCTGATGGAAAGGGAACCAAGGGACCAATGTCAGGACACTTCGGGCAGAGCCGCTACATATAATACAGTGTATGAGAGTGCAGTATATAGGAATGGACTGCTGGTATTGTAATACAGTGTATGAGAGTGCAGTGTCCGGAGAACTATATAGGAATGGACTGCTGATATTGTAATACAGTGTATGAGAGTGCAGTATATAGGAATGGGCTGCTGGTATTGTAATACAGTCTATGAGAGTGCAGTGTCCGGAGCAGTGTATAGGAATGGACTGCTAGTATTGTAATACAGTCTATGAGAGTGCAGTGTCCGGAGCAGTGTATAGGAATGGACTGCTAGTATTGTAATACAGTCTATGAGAGTGCAGTGTCCGGAGCAGTGTATAGGAATGGACTGCTAGTATTGTAATACAGTCTATGAGAGTGCAGTGTCCGGAGCAGTGTATAGGAATGGACTGCTAGTATTGTAATACAGTCTATGAGAGTGCAGTGTCCGGAGCAGTGTATAGGAATGGACTGCTAGTATTGTAATACAGTCTATGAGAGTGCAGTGTCCGGAGCAGTGTATAGGAATGGACTGCTAGTATTGTAATACAGTCTATGAGAGTGCAGTGTCCGGAGCAGTGTATAGGAATGGACTGCTAGTATTGTAATACAGTCTATGAGAGTGCAGTGTCCGGAGCAGTGTATAGGAATGGACTGCTAGTATTGTAATACAGTCTATGAGAGTGCAGTGTCCGGAGCAGTGTATAGGAATGGACTGCTAGTATTGTAATACAGTCTATGAGAGTGCAGTGTCCGGAGCAGTGTATAGGAATGGACTGCTAGTATTGTAATACAGTCTATGAGAGTGCAGTGTCCGGAGCAGTGTATAGGAATGGACTGCTAGTATTGTAATACAGTCTATGAGAGTGCAGTGTCCGGAGCAGTGTATAGGAATGGACTGCTAGTATTGTAATACAGTCTATGAGAGTGCAGTGTCCGGAGCAGTGTATAGGAATGGACTGCTAGTATTGTAATACAGTCTATGAGAGTGCAGTGTCCGGAGCAGTGTATAGGAATGGACTGCTAGTATTGTAATACAGTCTATGAGAGTGCAGTGTCCGGAGCAGTGTATAGGAATGGACTGCTAGTATTGTAATACAGTCTATGAGAGTGCAGTGTCCGGAGCAGTGTATAGGAATGGACTGCTAGTATTGTAATACAGTCTATGAGAGTGCAGTGTCCGGAGCAGTGTATAGGAATGGACTGCTAGTATTGTAATACAGTCTATGAGAGTGCAGTGTCCGGAGCAGTGTATAGGAATGGACTGCTAGTATTGTAATACAGTCTATGAGAGTGCAGTGTCCGGAGCAGTGTATAGGAATGGACTGCTAGTATTGTAATACAGTCTATGAGAGTGCAGTGTCCGGAGCAGTGTATAGGAATGGACTGCTAGTATTGTAATACAGTCTATGAGAGTGCAGTGTCCGGAGCAGTGTATAGGAATGGACTGCTAGTATTGTAATACAGTCTATGAGAGTGCAGTGTCCGGAGCAGTGTATAGGAATGGACTGCTAGTATTGTAATACAGTCTATGAGAGTGCAGTGTCCGGAGCAGTGTATAGGAATGGACTGCTAGTATTGTAATACAGTCTATGAGAGTGCAGTGTCCGGAGCAGTGTATAGGAATGGACTGCTAGTATTGTAATACAGTGTATGAGAGTGCAGTGTATAGGAATGGACTGCTGGTATTGCATTATAGTGTAAAGGAACGCAGTGTATAACGCAGTAATGGAGTAGTGCATTCTAGAAGAGTAGAGTAGTGTATGGAGCAGTACAGTGTAAAGGAGCGCAGTGTAGACGGGGGCAGTATATTAGTATACTGTATAGGAGAACATTGCATGGAGATGTTTAGTAGTACAATGTATAGAAGTGCAGTGTATGGGGCAGTTCTGTAGTAGAAGGAGTGCAGTGCACTGTTCAGGAAGAGTGCAGTATAGGGAACAGTACAGTAGTGCAGTGTTCAGGAAGGAGTGCAGTGCACTGTTCAGGAAGAGTGCAGTATAGGGAACAGTACAGTAGTGCAGTGTTCAGGAAGGAGTGCAGTGCACTGTTCAGGAAGAGTGCAGTATAGGGAACAGTACAGTAGTGCAGTGTTCAGGAAGGAGTGCAGTGCACTGTTCAGGAAGAGTGCAGTATAGGGAACAGTACAGTAGTGCAGTGTTCAGGAAAGATTGCAGTGTATGGAGTAGTATAGAAGTGCAGCGCAGTATAGGAGTCCAGTGTTCTGGAAAGAGTGTAGAGAACAGTATAGGAGTGCAGTGTATGGATCGGTATAGCAGTGCAGTGTATGGATCGGTATAAGATTGCAGTGTATGGAGTAGTATAGAAGTGCAGCGCAGTATAGGAGTCCAGTGTTCTGGAAAGAGTGTAGAGAACAGTATAGGAGTGCAGTGTATGGATCGGTATAGCAGTGCAGTGTATGGATCGGTATAGCAGTGCAGTGTATGGATCGGTATAACAGGGCAGTGCATGGATCGGTAGAGCAGTGCAGTGTATATCAGTGGTGGGTCAGTAGTTGGCCGGTAGATGGAGGATCGGTAGTACAGTGGTGCCGGCAGTGGATGGGGCTGTGGGTCGGAGATGGCAGTGCCGGCTCCCGGTGCTGTAGATGAGTACAGTGTACGGTGGAGCCGGGTAATCGGTGCTGTACAGTGCTGTGCCCGGCTCTCGGTGACTGACGTGGAGGAGCAGCAGCAACAGATCGGAAGTGAATGGGGGGCGGGGCGCATGCGCAGTGCGGTGCTGGCTGTGTCTGTGTCCCCGGGTCCCTCCCGTGTGTCCCGGTCCCCGGGTCCCTCCCTCCCGGTGCCGGCTCTCCCCCCAGCCAAGCGGATGTGCTTCAGGAAGAGACCGGGCTCCGCTGCTGCCCAAATCGTGAGTACCAGCTGCCCCCCTCTCTGCCCGGCTCCTCCCGGCTAGATCAGCGTAGAGGGGGACTGCCCCGGGGGTCCCTCCAGCCATGCCAGGCTGTCCCGGGGTCCCCCGCGCCACTGCCCTCTACTCCTCCCCTGCCCCTGTAGCCCTCTCCTCTTCCTGCACCCCTCATGTACCTTGTCCTCACCCCATACGGCTTCACTCTGTGTAACACTGCACCCCTTACTACTCCACTCTGTGTAACACCCTCATCGTACTAGGGAGCCCCACTATGTATAACTCTGCACCCTTTACTATGTACCCTGCCCCCACCCTGGGCTTCACTTTACTAGTTCTAGAGAGCCCCCACTCTGTAAAACCCTGCCCCTCCCCTTCTATTACTGGAGAGCCCCACTCTGTATAACCCTGTGCCCCCTTACTTTGTACACTTCCCCCTCACAGTACTACAGAGCCCCACTCTGTATAACTACCCCAGTACTAGTGAGCTCTGATCTAGCGCTGCACCTTTTTACTATATACCCTGCCTACACCCCATACCGCCCCCTGCTGGTACAGAGGAGCCCAACTCTTTATAAAACTGCACCCCCTTACTGTGTGTCCTGTGCCCCCAGTCCACTCCACCTCTCCTAATACTGTTGTGCCTCATTCAGTATAACACTACCGCCCCCCTCTTACTACATACCAGACCCCCACCTCATACTTCCTGTTCCCACTACTGGGAGCCCCACTCTGTATAACTACCCCAGTACTAGTGAGCTTTGCTCTAACACTGCACCTTTTTACCATGTACCCTGCCCAAACCCCATACCGCCCCCTGCTGGTACCGAGGAGCCGAACTCTTTATAAAACTGTGCCCCCAGTGCACTCCACCTCTCCTAATACTGTTGTGCCTCATTCAGTATAACACTACCGCCCCCCTCTTACTACATACCAGACCCCCACCTCATACTTCCTCCTACCACTACTGGGGAGCCCCACTCTGT